GCCGTAAACTTGATTATACAGGTAATAGTAATAAAACCAGTATTTGTTACATACATTTGTTTAATAATAATCACAAACGTAATCAGCTTTTTTAATAAGTAACAAGTTGCTAGTATAATCAACTTTTTATCTTACCTTTATTGAAATTTAAATAAAACATTAAAACTCTTCTAACTTTGGATGTACTTTACCACTAGATATTATGTTAGTTATCACAGCAACACTTTGCTAACAATCTTGACACACTTGAACACCATATTATAAGGCACCTTAAGGTTAATTTTAATTTTAATTTACTTATATATCATTCTTTTTAAATTCAAACATTCAATCATTTAAGAAGCAATCTAATGCCAAAATCTGGTTTTAATATTAATTATATTTTCTTATAAGTCAAAACTTATTTAAATCAACTCATTACAATATAATTTAATCATCATCAGGATTTAGTAAACTTGCATGATATGGTTCAAAGCAAGGCAAGGCAAAGAGGAGATTTATCAGGACAGCCTTTGCAACGGTAACTCGTTTCCCTTTGTATCTTTTTTTGTATACAAAATTTGCATTTAAAAAATGCAAATTTTTTGTAGTTCCAGGTCGTGCAGGCATTTGTTCTGGCCAGTGACCTTGCATTACACTACCATCATTTTTGAGTATGTTAGTAGTGCATGTCGTCGTGGGTTGGAATCGCCTTTTATTGTGAATACTGGATGTGTTTATCAAGTCTCTTCCCTTCAAATTTTTGTCCAGCCCAATTATTTCCTGTATCAGTTCTTCTCGGTAATTTATGTACGAGTACAAGCAAGATTTTTTTTATATTTTCTATAAAGAAAAAAGGCGTTCCACACAGCAATGTCCATCATGTGAAATATTACTTTCTTGTACCATCTGATAGTTTTTCGGGGACAAGCATTGTATGATACCATCTGATCACAACGATCAATGCCAGCCATGTTTCTGTTATATATATCAACTTCAGCAAGCTTTAAACAGGACTTGCCAAATCTGTTTGAAACTTCTATGATCGAGAGATGAACTTTAGTGGTAATCATCAGGACAGGGCGTTTATCTTTCCAATTGGAAACATATAAAAATTATAAATTCTGTAAGTTACAAGAATTGAATTTAAATGTTTCGAGAAATAAAAACATAAAATGGCCCCGAGTTCCCGGCGCCCCTTTAATGGGACAGGGGTGCGAAGAATCTCCGGGAGAAAAACGTCACGTTCTGTCTCCCGGAGGGGCGAAAAGTGGATTGCGGAAACCCGTCTGGCTACGCTGAATGTATGTGGAGGAATGAATGATAAGATGGATGAAGTATGCGAAATGATGAATGACAGAGGAATAGATGTGTTATGTGTGAATGAGACGAAACGAAAGGAAAAGGATGTCACTGCACATGGCACGTATACAGCGTATTGGTCCGCGAGACCGAACGGGCATGCCAGGGAGTCGGTTTCATCCTTTCAGAAAGAATGGGTCAATGTGTGAAAGAGTGTGAATGTGTAAGCCCGAGGCTGCTATGGATACGAATGAAAGTGGACTTAAAGAAGCTGTTCCTGCTAGGGGTGTACCCGCCCCAGACATGTTTAGACAGTCGGGCCCCTCCAGGCCCACTTACATCCGACAGTTTTGGAACATGGTAAGGATGGTGTTGACAAAATGTAAGGAAAATGAAAATATTATTATGTTAGGAGACTTTAATGTAAGGGTTGGGATGAAGAGGTCTGGTTATGAAAGGATATTGGGAACGTTTGGTGATGAAAGTATAAATGAGAATGGTGAAGACCTCCTCACCGTATGTGTGGAAAATAATCTTTTTGTGACAAATACTTTTTTCGTCATAAGAAGATTCACATGTATACATGGGAAAGAGGTGATGATAGAAGCATGATAGATTTCGTAATTGTGGATGAAAGAATGAGGAGCGCAGTCGTAGATACAAGGGTTTACCGGGGGGCCAACGTAGGGACGGATCATTACTTGGTCTTATGTCGAATTAATGGTCTTTTCAAGCGTTGGCGGCATCGGACATCTGTGTCTACCACTGCGTTACAGCGTATAAGAATAGAGAAGTTACAAGATGAAGATGTGAAAGAGAAGTATAAATGTAGACTGAGAGAAAATATTAGATGTTTGAATGAGTTGTGTATGAATGATTTAGACTTGAATACTGTGTGGGACAATATTAAGAAAGGTTTGGTGGATGCCGCCACCGAAGTATGTGGTGTAAGTAAGAGAACAAATGAAAGGAAAAGTAATATGTTGTGGTGGAATGATGAGGTACAGGTGGAAGTTGAATCAAAGAAGAAAGCATGGTTAGATTTACTAGCAACCAAAGCTGGTAATTCTTCTGGTATGAATGATGAGATTGAAAGAAAAAAGGCAGAATTTAGACGTCTAAATAAGAGAGTAAAAGAAGTTGTTGACAGGAAAAAGAAAGAAAGAACGGATAAGAATGATAGAAGAATATCTAATAATTTCCAGGCTAACATAAAAATGTTCTGGAAACTCGTAAGAACTGCCAGGGGAAATACAAAACAGCCTATAATTAATGCTATAAGAGACGAGAATGGATGTGGATCTGAATGAAGAAGTTTCAAATTTAAACAGATGGAAGGAATACTTTGAAAGCGTGTTTATGAGCGAAGAGTGCGAATTAAATGAACTAGAAATTCCGAAAGTAGTGGAAAGGGGTATGGAGATAAGCGTAGATGAAATAATGAAAGCAATGAAAAGCATGAAAGCAGGTAAGGCAGCTGGATATGATAGAGTATCACTCGAGATGCTAAAGGCTGGAGAGGGCCTGCTGTACACCTTGTTTAATTTATGTTGGGAATTAAAACGGGTACCGGATGACTGGTGTAAAGCAGTTATAGTATCAATATATAAAGGAAAAGGGTCACAGCAGGACTGCAAAAACTACCGTGGTATCAGCTTGCTTAGTATTGTGGGTAAACTGTATGCTAAGGTGTTAATTGAAAGAGTTATGAAAGAAACTGATGGAAAAATTTGGGATGTGCAAGAGGGTTTTAGAAAGGGAATGGGGTGTACAGATCAAGTCTTTTCCATGCGCATGATTGCGGAGAAGTTTTTTAGCCAAAAACCAGAAAGTTTTTTGTGCGTTCATGGACTTGGAAAAGGCTTATGACAGAGTGGACAGGAATGTGTTATGGCAAAGACTGAACTCATATGGGTTGAGCGCTGGTTTGATACAGGCATTAAGGTCTCTTTATAGGAACTCTAGTGCTTGTGTCAGGATCAATGGGGTCCACTCGGACTGGTTTGGCATCCAAAAAGGTGTCAGACAGGGCTGTGTAGCTTCCCCTTGGCTGTTCAACCTATTTATGGACAGGTGTTTGCAAACTTTGAAAGATGAAGAATGTGGGTTAAGAATGGGCGAGTTAACCGTCAAATGCCTTCTGTATGCCGATGATCAAGTGATATTTGCGTGATCGGCGGCTGAGTTGCAAATGATGGTTACATTAATGAACTGGGAATTAAAAGAAAGGGGAATGAAAGTGGACGCAAGTAAGACGAAAGTGATGGTTTTTGAAAGAGAAGAAAGCAAAACGGTATGTGAAATAAGAATAGAAGGAGAGTTAATTGAGCAAGTGGATGAGTTTGTGTATTTGGGATGTGTATTTAGCAGGGATGGTAGATATGATAAGGATATAGAACGACGAGTAAATGCAGGGAATAGAGTGAATGGGCACTACACTCTATTGTGAAGAACCAGAATGTATCAAAAAAGGCATGTATGGTAATTCATAATGCTGTGTTAGTCCCTACTTTAATGTATGGTAGTGAAAGCTGGGTGTGGCAGAAGAAGCACGAAAGTAGAATAAATGCTGTAGAAATGCGGTCTTTAAGGAGTATGTTAGGGTTGAATCTGAATGACAGGGTGAGAAATTGCGTGATAAGAGATAAATGTGGTATGCAAGATGATGTTGTGACCAGGATTAAGCAAGGAATGCTTCGGTGATTTGGTCATGTAGAAAGAATGAATGAGGAAAGAGTGACAAAGCAAATTTATATGGCAGATGTGAACGGCAGAGTCGGGAAAGGACGCCCTAGAAAAAAGTTTATCGACCAAATTGGCGATATTTTGAAAATGGGCCACGTTAAAAGTACCCTTAACCGACGAGCATGTATGCATAGATATATGGATGTAAAGGAGGCGAAAGAGGTATGTCAGGATCGTGCCAAATGGAAGTCCGTAGTCTCTGCCTACCCCTCTGGGTGACAGGCGTGAGTGTTTATATTTATATTATATATAAATAAAAACAAAAAATACGTTGATAACTTACCACTGGAGCCGTTATTTGCGCGCGAAAGTATGAGGTGACACGAAGTCTACCGCCGACGCGCACTACGTGACGAAATGTATGAAAATACGACGCCCACGGGCGTACTGTACAGGTGGAAGGGTACTGGAATTCTGCCAATGTGTGTGTACCTTGACGTATTGTAGAACTATGTACGATGACAGTAAAAAAGACGCATTACTTTTGCGGTGACACTACAACATGCTCTTCATTTTAAAAATTATTGAAAATCAAAATATTAAAAAAAAATATGACGTCTATAGGCGTTCTGTCGTATCATTCTTTTGAACTTTATTACTTATTACTACTTGAACGCCCGTGGATGTTTACTGTCCACCAATGTGTTAAGTTCAAATATAAAAATAACGCGTTTTTGGAAATACGAATAAATAAGACTTCTACTTTTATCTGTAACTATCCCAAATTGAATGTGATTTGGGCATTTATTACAAATAACCCTGAATAGTTAATGATTAAATTAAATTAAACTTAACTAACAATTAATTTAACAATCTAGAATGAAATTAAATAGTTTTTTTTGTCACTATTGTACATCTTTTGTAACCAATATTCCACAATAAATATATTTGAATTGATTTAGGCAAAACTTGTCATTATGTCTGAAAAGCAGCTAGGAGAAAGTGACCATAAAAAGTGATATTGCAACACTCACCTCATCTGCATCAACAATAGCTGCAAACTGTTTTAATGATGATTCCAATGCTTTAACATTGGGTATTAATTTGTATACTATACTAGACCATGCCCTGGAAAAAAAATTAAACCTATAGTTAATGAGTCTTTTTTTAAGTTTAGAAATAACACTGAAATATATTTTTCTACTCCAGAGCTATATTGATCACGGGGTCCTAAGCAGTGTCCAACTTCCTGTCACTGTAACATAGCTTCATGAACATTTCAAAATACACTATGCAGATTATACATCTTAGTCTATAAAGGTTGTTTCACAAAGTATAATTGCCGGCACGAGTCGTGAGCACACTTTTTATTGGTCGATATGACGTTGACCACGCTGACGCTCAACGTGATAGGTTCGTCAACCGATTCTCGTCGCCTATTGAGTTCGCACGTATCATTTGACTACCGTACACTTGAGAGCATTTTTAGTGACAAGTTTTTAATTAATTTATTTTTGATTAAAACTACTTTTACGGATTTTATCACGTTTATGTTACTATTATTTTTAATTCCCGACGTTTCGGGCGCTTTCCAGCACCCATGGTCACGGGGGACTGAGATGACTGACGTCCCGATGTCATTGTTATACCCGGAGTACCTTCAGCTTTTTTAATTATTGTTTATGGTCCGATCTATGCAAAATGAACTGACTATGTCCTGAGGTCTTGCAGTGGTATGCTTGGGTTTAGTTTTAATTTTATTGATTATAGGATCCCAAGCAGGTAGTAGTACCCAGCCTCCTTCTATATTGAAATTAGGATGTTTTTTAATTTCAATAGCCTCATGTATCATCCTTGGTAGGAATCGGTGTTCTTTCGCGAGGATTTGTAATGGTTGGGGCCGTCTAGGATATGATCGCAAACTGCAGACTTCCCGGAATGTTGATATATTATATATATGTATAGTTTATTTTTGTTAGTTGTAGTGTTACCTCGTTACCTTTTGATATTTTTTGTTGTTAATTTTTTTTTGTTATAATTTGAGCATTCAGATTTTGGTCTAAATATGCAGAGAAGAAAGAATTCGATGTTAAACAGACAATCCCGACAAATTTTAAATAGACAATCCCGACAAATGGTCTATTCAGTGTTTTGTTACATGAAAAATTAGTTTTTGCTAAAACATGATAGAAGTTTAGAAATAGACTGCTGTAGCTACTGTACGGCATATATTTAAAGGAGTAATTGACTCAGAATTTCGAAAAAAAGTCAGTGAAAATATTCAATTACAAATTGAAATAATAAAGGTACCAAATAATTTTGGCAGACAGTGTACCTACACTGGCTCAACCCCCACCATAGTTCATCTGTGCTCACGACACGACACATGCCTGCCGTCAACTATACATTGTTAATAATCAGTCCCTAGTGATCTATAGATACCTATTGTATTATTTGTTATCTTCCTTCTCTTTTTATCTTATATTAAGTTAGGTAATATAGTTTTTTTGGATTAATTATTTGTACCTTATAATACTTTATACCGTGGTAGCTCAGGGGCTAAGCACTTGCTGTAATTTTTACAGTTTGCTAGCTCAAACCCCGCTGGTACCAATACTTACTTAATTGCAATTTTAAGTGCTGATTTACCACATACTCGTCAGTGAATAAAAACATTTTGAGGATACCTGCATGTCGGAGAAATAACAAAACTAAAAATTTTGAAGACATGCGAACTTCACCAACACGCATTGGAGCAACGCAGTGAACATTTCCTTGCCCAAAAACCCTCTCAGAAACGAGAGGAGGCCTGTGCCTAGCAGTGGGATGTATACAGGTTGTAACTTTAACTTTTTAAATTTATAATAGCTCAGAAGGTATATATCATAACTTCCTTAATAATAAACTAAAAGACCTTTATTTTATTACTCACTTGTATAAAGTTTCATCCCATATACTTGTTCTAAAGCATGTGCATTCAAGTGGTTTAGATAGTCCTTTTAAATCTTCTTCTCTTTCTTTGAATATCTCTTCTCTCCTTTCTTCTGCTACCAGATCCATTTTATGAACCAAGCAAAAAATTCTGGCTTCAGGAGAGTTCTGTGAAGACAAAATGGGGATCTCGATTTAAAAAAAAAACCTTTAAATAAGCTTACTAAAAATTTAAAGAAGGAATTTTTCATTGGGCTTTTTTTTAAATAATATGTATTGATAAAGTTATTAAAAGAATCAGTTTTATTCATTAATGTTTCCTGCTTGTGTTTGCGTGTACTCATGCTTTTCTTTACACATTAGTTAGGTTTCAAAATAATATACCAAATTTAATGAGACAATCAACCAACCTCTCTTGCTTAGTATTCAAAGCTATAATATAGTAAATAAGGTTAGTAAATCTTTTAATTATAAATTATTTTAAGAAACATTTTATTTAGTGTATGTATTATAAAGGTAATGTTATGCAAAAATTTTATATTACCTGTAATATAGCTTCTAAGCATGATTGATAATAATGCATATCTTTCTCCATTTCTCTACTTTCAACATCAAACACGTAAATAAGAACTTCAACATTGCGGAAAATGTTGTCCCTCTGAGATGCAAAATAATTTTCCATAAATGCTTCTTGTCCACCACAATCCCAAAGATTAAGCACCAAGTTACCAAGAAATCTGACATGAGAATGTTCAACATCAACTGAAAAAAGTATTATTATTAAAAAAAAAACACTATTTTAAAATATTAAAAAAAAATATTATAAACAAATTCTACTATTCCGATCATAGTTTTTCAGTTTCATAAAACATATATGAAAAGGCAGTGCAAGTGACCTTATAATCTCTCTGAATCTGATGAACTTGGTGCCAACTTAATCCCGAAATACCAACTCCACCTACTCAAGTATTTGTTGTATAAAATAAATATGATTAACAAGCAAACAGTCCACCTGAAGTGGTACGTGGTAAGTGGATGCTGTGGCCCATAGACATCTATATTTATTGTTGATTAAGAATCAAAATGCAGATGCATTGTCACCCCTGAGGACAAAGATGGAATGCCTCATTTCCAATAAAAAGAGTACGGTTCTCTACACTCACTATGCAAAACACAAAGCCTTAAGCTGCTATTTTATGCTGTGAGAGCATGGTTCTACTCTGGTTGAAACGACTCATTCATGCTACAACTAATATAGCTGCAGTGTGGCTCTACCACATACACTAGGCGAGTGTACCAGGTGTCTTGCACCTTTGACATCACTCCGTTGCTAGTTAAACATACTACAAACCAAAATGGACTGCGATAGTTAATTTTGGCGATAAGATGATCTGAATTGAAATTTAACAAGTATTTTAGAATTTTTATATTTATTATTAGTTTTTAGGGATTAAAGTAATCATAATATTGTTAACTAACATTAGGAGGTGAAGTAGTGAAACATTCAAATATTCTAATAATGTTAAAGTTGGCACTTACTTGTGGCTCCTAACCTTCTTGTATCTCTCGCTATATAATTAGCAAAAATAATTGATCTCATACTTGTTTTGCCCGAACCACTTTTCCCCATCAAGAGCACCTGAAAAAGTAATTTTTAAATAGTTACATATTAGAACTAAGTTTATTTATGATCTGCGTAATTTCATTACATTAAAATATGAACCTTTTTCTTCATGATGTTGAGAATCAAGGGTCCTAAGTTGAGAAAGTTCTATTTGTTGCTTTAAATTGCTGTTTTATTCTGCTAGTGATAAACTGTAACTCTTCACTGTTCTTCAAACTTCAGGCTGTTAACTTGTTGACAGCGAGGATGTGAGTAGGCGTAGTATAAAAATTCTCAAATAAGAATAGCAGGTAGCTAAGAGAATAAAATCACTACGTTACACTAGAGATATAACTAATCAAAGGGAATTATAGAAATAGGATTGTTTTAGTTTAATACATGTAACGCACTAGGCTAGATTAGATAGTCTCATAGATAAATAAATATGTAGCAAGCTAGATAGTCTGTGATAAAATAAGAACTAGGGATGTTCGATGATCATCGATGTTCGATGATAATCGATGTTAGAAATTAACAACATCGATGTTGCGCATGCTAAACATCGTAACATCGAAGTAATAATGATACCACATGTCAAACATTGAAACAGCGATGTCAATGAGCCAATAATTGATTAATAAGAACTTGTGAACAATGCGAACCCGCGAAATCAATATCAACTAAATATTTCATCTCCTATTAAAGGTTTAAAATTTTGAATAATTTAGGATTCTTAAAGGCATCAATCACCTGAAAAATATCATTATGTTGTGTCAAACTCCCTCTCAAGTGTGAACCGTAATGTCACTGCTTTCGATTTGTTATTCTGTGGTATCATTGTCACCTAATAACAATTCTACATAAATTGATATACAAATAATGTTTTTTCTGTTGCTGCCTATACACACATAATTTTGAAACAATATGAATATACACAATCCAATTATATTTACTTAGCTGTTTTTTGAGCTAATGAGTTTATTTTTCGCTTGAAGTTTATGAAAATAAATCACTGGGCGATTATGAGCATAGAAAATTTCACTGCATAGTGCATTTTATAAACGGCTGTGGATACTTATTGTTTGGGCTGTCTGAGAAAAAATAGTGAACAAAGGTGACGGAAAAGTGTAATATTTTGTTTTTGTGACGTTTGCTAATTCGCCCTCTGTAATGAGATTTTTTTTATTTCGCGATAGGAGTGGTTAATATAGAACATACGTCTAAATCGTAAATTAGGTCTCATAGTAAATTTTTTCGTAGATTTTTGGTTGTATAGGTATATTTGAAGATCGAAATAATGTTACGAGCTTGAGGTTCGTGACAATAAAAATTGCCGATAAAATTACCTAAATTAACACTTTAATTTTCTTTACACAAATTTAAACTTAAAACACTAATAATTAATCACACTGATTCACTTTATTCCGCTCCGAAGCTTCGCTTGTCTCGCCAACTTCAATAATTCCCCGATCGCGTATTGCAGCGCCTTTATATAGGGCTCTTCCACGAATACATCCAGAATATTCCAGAATATTCAAGTAAATACGCGCGCCAACTGACCAAGCGCAGAAAGTTCGAGTGTGCGGCTTCCAGAAAGCTTAATTCTTCTGTTCGATACTAGATGGCGCTGTTGGTTGAAAGACTAGTCATGTATTTTCTGGAAAGCTCTCCTCGCTCTGTTGCCCGATACCAGATGGCGCTAGTGCCATCGTCTTATTCGCAAAACACTGCCCTCTCCTAAGACATGCTCGTCCCGCTCATTATCGGCCCCATAATAACACGTCAAGCAATCCACATGGACGATCTTAGGACTCCCTCTTGCGCCCTTCTGTATCCGGTTACATCGTTGATCCTGGTTACAATCCGGTACGGGCCGTCCCATTTAGCTTGAAGCTTAGGAGATTTCCCTTTGCTGCGGACTGGATTGTGCAACCACACGAGTGAACCTTCGTCGAAACCTTTGTTTTTCATTTTGCGGTCGTACCGGGTTTTCATCTTCTCAGACATTTGCTGGCCCGATTGTCTGACGTGCTCATAAACATCATGCATTTTTTTCCGCAAGTCATTTGCATAATCGGTTATACTGCGTGGAGCATCAGGTGGTATCCCGGTGATCAGGTCTGCAGGCAGCCGTAATTCTCTTCCAAAGTTTGCGAAAGCTGGTGTCACTGCTGTATTTCGTGAACAGAACTTCGATATGACAACAAAAACGGTAGTATGTGCTTGTCCCAATCTCGTTGCCGATTGTCTACAACTTTTGCTAGGTACCTCTCCAATGTCTGATTAAATCGTTCTACCATTCCATCAGATTGCGGGTGATAAGAAGTCGTTCTTGTTTTATGAGTACCCATAACTCGGCAAGTTTCCTGGAATATTTGAGACTCAAAATTCCTTCCTTGATCGCTGTGAATCTCTAAAGGTACTCCAAAACGACAGAAGACTTCATGAACTAGTTTATCTGCAACTGTTGAAGCTTCTTGATTTAAAATAGCGAAGACTTCTGGCCACTTAGTGAAGTAATCCATCATAACCATGAAATACTTGTTAACGCTTTCACTCTCCGGAAACGGCACCGCCACGTCAATGGTTATTCTCTCCCATGGTGCACCAACATTGTACAACTTCAATGCACCTCTACTACGAGTCTGAAGTCCCTTTACAGCCGCACAACTTGTACATTTGCGACACCAGTCCTCGACATCGTTTCGACAGTGTACCCAGTAAAATCGTTCTCGGATCTTCAGTAGAGTTCGTTTAACTCCCAGATGGCCTCCTGAACAATCATTATGGTACAGCTGTAGAACATCCGGTACTTTAGCTTTAGGGACAACCATTTGCAAATGACAGCTGTCTCCCCGAACATTTTCCCATTTATGGCACAGAACTCCATCCTGAAGCAGCAAGCTGTCCCACTGGGCCCAATAGCTTTTAGTGGTCGTACTCATCGCTGAGACGTCGCTCCACTTGGGCTTGGGAGCACTGGCCTTTATCCATTCCAGAATCAGCTTGATGTCCGGATCTTCCTGCTGTGCATGTAGTAAGCTGTCCTTCCATTCGTTGCTGAGGTGATCTGTCCTGAGCATCCTCACGGATACCTCTTCCTTACTCTCTTGCCTAGTACAATGATTGCAATCTTCAGGACAAGGTCTTCTTGACAATGCATCTGCGTTGCCATGAGATTTCCCGCTGCGATGTTCGATCTCAAAGTCGTATTCCTGCAGTAGTTCAATCCACCTCGCAACTTGTCCTTCTGGATTTTTAAACTGCAATAGCCATTTTAGTGCAGCATGGTCAGTTCGTAAGTGAAATTTCCGCCCCAGAAGATATTTGCTAAAATGCTGCAAAGACTTTACCACAGCTAGCAATTCGCGTCTTGTGACACAATAGTTCCTTTCCGGTTTTGACAATGACTTGCTGAAGTACGCTATCACGACTTCTTGGTCACCATTCCGTTGAGACAACACACCGCCAAGTCCTATATCACTTGCGTCTGTGTTAACTATAAATTCTTTGCTTGCATCAGGGTATCCCAAAATAGGTGTTTTGCACAGACGGTCCTTGAGCTCCTGGAATGCGATATTACAACTTTCATCCCAGCAGAAATGTCGCTTCTCCTCGGTTAGCTTATGCAGAGGTTAGGCTATATCTGCAAAGTTCTTCACAAATCACCGGTAATAGGAGCACAAACCCAAAAATGCTCTAACCTGCGTCTTGTCTTTTGGAACCGGCCAATCCTTTACAGCTGCGATTTTCTCTGGATCCGTGCGGATACCTTCTTCCGACACTACATACCCCAAAAAGTTGACTTGCCGTTTGAATAGTGAACATTTCTTCGGACTCAGCTTGAGATTGGCACTCTGAATCTTCATGAGCACGCGTCCCAGGTTTTCAAGGTATTCCTCAAACGTACGGCCCACGATGATGATGTCGTCCAAGTAGACCAGACAGGCATCGCCAATTAGTCCGCTAAGTACAAGTTCCATCAGTCTTTCAAACGTTGCTGGAGCATTGCACAACCCCAACGGCATTACTTTGAATTGCCACAGACCCTTTCCCGTCGAGAACGCAGTTTTCTCCTTGTCCTTAGGGTCAATTTCAACTTGCCAGTTGCCACTTTTTAGATCCAGCGTGCTAAACCATTTTACTCCTGTAAGCATGTCCAGCGTGTCATCAATTCTTGGCAAGGGATAGCTGTCCTTCTTTGTAACGTCGTTCAGACGGCGGTAATCAACACAGAACCGCATGCTGCCATCCTTCTTCTTTACCAGCACCACGGGTGAACACCATGGACTAGATGAAGGTTCAATAACACCATTCTTCACCATTCCCTCAATCATGGTTTCCACTTCCTTTTCACGTGCTACCGGCAATCTTCTTGGCCGCTGACGGATAGGCAATTCCTCTCCTGTGTTTATTTTGTGTTGAACTAAGCAAGTCTTTCCTATGTCAGCATCGTTTGATGACAATACATCGGCGTACTTGAGTAACAACTTCTTCGCCTTGACCAATTCGTTCGGGGAGAGAACACTGTGACAGTCTTCCAAAAGTGAGGTCACTCTCGTTTTTGCATCCTTGCTGGGGGTCTCACTCGATAGATATTAGCACCGACGTAACCAGTCCACTTCCTCTCAAGTACCAACCAGCGTGCCTTTTTCTATAATCTGTTCCCGGTCACAAAGGTTCGGCACACGTACTCCTGAGATGCCAGTGGTTCTGACCAAGGTTCGAGCTACTTTCCATGAAAGGTCATTGTTTACCCTTTCCACAAGTACACAACGGTGAGCTTGCCCAGCGTTTCGAAGAAGACTAACTGGAACAACCGTTTCCGATCTCGGCGGAAGAACAATCTTCTTAATGCTGTACACGTTCCCTGGTAACGTACCTTCCATAAAAAGTTCCTCCTTTCCACATTTCAAAACACCTTGCTTAACGTCGATCTCACAACAATTATTCCTCATAAAGTCCAGGCCTAGGATGCAGTCATCCATTATATCAGCCACGATGACATTATGCAGGTAGATCACGTTGCCTAGCTTCAACTCCATCTTCTACTCTCCACGGACGGGTATACGCTGACCGGTGGCTGTTACCAAATTAATGCGTTCTCGGTTGTATGCGGAGTCCCCAAAGAA